ATTTTTTTCTATACTAATAAAAAAAAACAACAAAATAATAATAAAAAAATAAACTACAGTATGGAAATATAATTATCGGGAAAGTTTTGTGGTATTTTTGTGGCGTAGTTATTTATAAATACAGTGGAAAATAATTTGGAGTGATAGAGGAAAATATTTTTTTTGTTAGGAGAATATTAACATAGACCTAGTAATCAATGAAATATTAGGATTTTTGTTTGGAAAATTCTGGTTTTCAAATATTCGATTCGAAAAAAAATTGCGGAAAATAAGAAGGGGTTTTTTGAAGGTGTTTTCTCCGTTCTGATTAGTCAATACTTTTATGGAATAAATAAAATAAATTTATTTCAATTTTTACTCATTGGTCTTTTTTCCAACTTCTTCAGGAGTATTTTATTAGAGGGTTTTTATCCAAATAAGATATTAATTTTTTTTTCAAGAGTTTGAAGAAACCTTAAGTATAGATATTATTTCCTTCTATTTGATATTTTTTTGGAACTCACGGTTAAAATAGATTTTCCTTCCTTAAACCACTGTGCTTTTCTGTTTGATACTAAAATTTTGGGTGTAACCTTAATTTGTTTACCATTAAATTGACATATTTATTGCTTCGACATTAGAGAGCCAATACTTTTGAGGTTAGTAACCTTTTTGGGAAATTGGAAGAAGGGGAAAGGAAAGTAGATGTGGAATGGGCGGAATGTAATACCAAATAGAATATGTAAATAGATATAAATATTGTTATAATTTTTTTTAAGAGGTCAGAAGTGAGAAACAAATATGTTGTAAGTAAAACATTTTTAAATAAAAAAGGACTCCCACGTCTGCCTTTGCTTACATTTTTTATCTACAATAATATCTCCCAAACGTATACGTTTCAGCGTACATTACGCCACCTTATCTTACAAAATAACTTATATTAAAAATAATTATACGCCACTATGACCATTAACAAATAATAAATGAAATGGAAGAAAAAATGTCCGTAATATTTTTTGTAAATAGTTTTAAACAAAAAGACGCTTGGGAAATATCACCCTCTTTAAAACAACATTTCCCAAACGTATACGTTTCAGCGTACTTCATACGCCACCTTATCAGTATTAATAACATTAAAAATAATTATACGTCACCATGTCCGCTGACAAAAATAAATGAAATGGGTATAATTTTTCATTATACAAATGTAGATTTAAGTTTTTCCGTTCCAACAAAAACTGTAAATTAATTTTTCCAACTATTTCTGAAAAAAAATATTATTATGCTTTTCGAAATTTTTTATCTCCATTAAATAACAAAAATTAAAAATATCACCCCGCTTAAATACAATATTTCCCATGCGTATACGTTTCATCGTACATCATACGCCACCTAATCCTTTAATAAATAGTATTTATAACAATTATACGGCACCATGTCCATCAATACTAAATGAAATGGAAGTAATCAGACGCCACAGGTTCTTTCAATGACCGGATTTTTACCAAATATATAATTATTTATGCAATAAAAATACGCTTTTCACTTTTTGTCGGACAAAAAAAAAATTAAATTGATTACTTTGGAATAAATAAATCGACTTTCGACTAATCGATTAATCGACTTTTTTATTAAAAACTCTAAAAGTCGAAGTCGACTTTTGACCATTGAGAAAATCGCAAACTCGACTTTCGGTTTTCCTCATAAATTCTTGGTTTATTATCACAAAACCGAAATTGCCTAAAAATTACACATTCCAGAACTTTTTTTCATCTGTTGACAACAATTATCGATTTTCAACAGGTTTGACAAAATCGAAAGATCGAAAAGTCGTCTTTTTTGTCAGAAGCAAAAATCGAAAAATCTAAAAGTCGACTTTTGCGCTCGACTACGTATCCCTAGTTCTAATTCGTAAGAAGAATATGTGTTGAAGGAAAATATTTTCATTCAAATATATATTTTCAAAACACTTTCCCCATATGGATGCATATTTTATTATTTTTATTCAAATTATAAATAACAATAATTTTTTTATAAAGTCGACTTCTTTATTCTTTAGGTCGCAGTAATAAACACTTTAAAATTAAATAAGAAATGTTGGAAAAAAATCTAAGGGTACGTATACGTAATAACATCCCTCATACGATCCCAGGGAATCATAATATGTTTCTATTTGCACAGTTTGTGCATCAGGTTTAATATTATCAATTTACCTTTGGAGTCCTTGAAAATGGAAAATTTTCTACTAATGCCTATACGTTATGACACCAATCATACGCCCCCACCGAGTCATAATATGTTTCCATTTGAGCAGTATAGGTCTGAAAAATTAAAAATAATTATACGCCATAGGTTTCCTATTTATATTTTTCCTTTCAATATATATCGAAATCCAAATATTCAATGGACCCAGCGAGTATTAAAAATTATGATACAACACAGGTTGTAAACTTTCTATTTTCCATGGATATTGATTTTTCTAAAGAATTTCTATATTTTTTCTAAAGAAAAAACTCGAATAGATTATACACAGAGCGTATACGTCTTGACGTTCATCATAAGCTCCCAAAAAACTTTATATTAATGCCTGCCTGTAAATTATACAACACCCAGAACCCTATATTATAAGTACTCATACGTCACTGGATAATTATTTAATTTTCTAAATACTCAGATTTTAGCGAATTTATGAAATCTGTTTCTCATTAAATCAGGATCTCTCTCAAAAGATATTTTTTTAATTAAAAAAAATAGAAAATGTGTACACTTAAAAACATTCATATTTCGCCCTAAACAAACTGATTACTTTCTAATAAAATTTCTCTTAGAAATATTTTTAATATTCAAAATATATATTTGGAAATTTCGAACGGAGCGTATACTCATTAACATGCATCATACGCTTCCCAGAGACCCAAAATATGTTAGACAAAAATGTCAGACTCCCTTCTAGATTCTCTTCTCTTTAATTCTTCAACCTTCATAAATGAGTATTTTTTAATATTAAAAAAATATTTTCAAAAATGTTTAACAGTGCGTATACTTATTGACAGCTACCATACGCCCCTATAAAATCCTAATATGTGAATATATGTAAATTATACGCCCAGTTCTTCAAATTTAAAATAATATTATGCCAAAGGTTTCCCATTTACTTTCAAGACTTTTTGACTTAGGGTAATACAAATTGATACGGCAACGGTTGATACTAATAATTTTTGGAAAAGTTGTATTTTTTTAGCATGGACAAGAAGCCTATATTTTTAAAATAATCGTAGGCAAAGTGATAATTCTTATAAATATTTTTACTTTTAAATAAATACATCTTGAAGATTTCTAACAGAACGTATACTTAATGACATCCATTATACGCTCCCTAAACTATTTAATATTTCTCTATTTGTAAATTATACGACACCTGGTCCTGCGAATTAAAAACAATCATACGCCAGTAGGTTTCCTATTCACATTTTCTTTGAATTTCAACCCAAAATCGTGTTTCAAATGATTTCATGTTTTCGGAAACTAAAAATATATAAGGAAAATATTCCTTCCAATAGTTTTAGAATAAGTTGTGTTTTTAGGGATGGATGGAAACTTCATGGGCCAAAGACTATTTTCATAAATTTTCCATGAATTTTAGGTAACTGAAAAAAATAATTTGTGTTTCAAAAAAATATGTATTATTTTCGCTTTCAGTTTTGAACTTTCACAAACAAGTCATTTTAATAATTAAAATATCTTTAAAAATGTGTAACAGCGCGTACCCTTATTGACAGCCATCATACGCCCCCAGATAACCATAATATGAGACTATTTGTAAATTATACGCCACCTAATCCGGCGAATTAAAAATAATCATACGCCAGAAGGTTTCCTATTTACATTTCCTATGAATTTCGTTCTAAAATCTATTTTTTACGGACTACATGTCTTAGCGAACTAAGAAATGTATAGGGAAATGATTCCTTCTAAGTAATTTAGAACAACTTAATTTTTTTAAGGATGGATGAGGATCTTTATTTTCAAAAAAATCACAGATCTACTGATTTTTCTTTGAATTTTAGAAGAAGAATTATTTTTGCATATGATTGAAATGAAACTTTTGTTAACTGTTTTCTTAACTGTCATACATATTTTTCTATGAATTTTATAGAACTCTGTCTTCTATCAAAATCCTAAGTTTTTTTTTAATTCAGAAAACTTAAATAATTTAGAAAAAGATAAATTCAAAATTTTGAAAAGAATAAATCTAAATTCAGCCTATATATAAATCTTTGAATTTTATATATAAAAAATATTTTCATTTTTTAACATTCCTTATTAAAAATCTAGCTGTAAAAAAATAATATTTTAAAAATCTACTATTTTTAAACTTTGCTGCGACGTATAAAAATGCTAAGCCATCAAATAACTTTTCTTAAGCCCTCCCCTTTCTTCTATAAAACTTTTATAGCCTGGAAATGTGTACTAATTTTATTTATATATTTTTTATATATTTTTAAAATATTTTTTTAGCTTATAAGTCACTCATTTTTATTAAATATTTTTTTATTTAATTTTTTTTATTTTTGCATCAATGCTTCACTAATACATACATATAATAAAATATTTAATCTTTTATGTCTACTAATATAACTAACTTAATATATTTATATATATGGTTTGTAGTAATTTTTATTTAAATAAATGTTTTTAAAATTATTATTTTTTTTAATTTAAAAAAAAAAATCCTCTTTTCTGTTTCAATGTCAAACTCAAAACCAAAAATTCTAACTATCTCTAATAATTGTCTTAACAAAATTCCAAAACCAAAAATATTGTTCCAATACAAAAATCCAGAAACGTAATAAGGCTCCTTATATAAAAAATATATAATTTTTTATATATTGTTTTCTTATATTTTTTATTTAATTTCCGTTATATAAAATTATTTTATAATTACTAATTTTTTAATTTAAAAAAATTAATTCTTTATATATTTTTCTATATCCATTACAATAAAATAATCTTAATCATAGATACGATATGATGACGAGGACGAAGATGAAGGTCCACAGCCGGATCCCACACTTGAACAGGGTGTGCCTATACCTGTTCGAATGCAGGGCAGCTTCCCGCCGGAATTGGCCTCCACTCCTCTCGAGGATATCGATCCATTCTACAGTAATGTACTGGTGAGTTGTATTGAAAAACTAATTATTTCCAAATTGTAATAGAGGATGGGTTCAAATTTTAATTTTTTTAGGTGATTTAAGGGATTTAATTAATAAACAAATTAAAAAAAAATATTTTAAATTTTTTTTTTCTAAATTTTCTAAATAAAAAAATGAAAAAAAAAAATAATTTTTTAAAAAAATTAAAAATTTATTTTTTTTTGTTAGATGTTTTTTTTAAATAATTTTTATATTTTTCTAAAGAAAAATTTTAAATAAATTATTTACAGAATGCGTATACGTATTGACGTACATCATACGCCCCCAAAACCCTATGTTATTTTCTGTCTGTAATGTATACGTCACCCAGAACCCTATATTAAAAATAATCATACGTCACATGTGATCTTAACTAGTGCACGAAAGATAGGAGGAAAAATTATTTTTTTTAGATTAATTTTGAAAAAAATCCTATTTTTATTGGAAAATTAATAAAATTTTGAAAAAATGAGAAAAATTTTGTATTCAAAATTTTTTGAAAAAAAATGTTGTAATTTTTTTTTAAATTATTTTTTCGGACAATAGGTTTGAATTTTTTACACAATTGTTAAATTTTTCTAAAGAAAAAATTTAAATAAATTATTTACAGAATGCGTATAAGTCTTGACGTACATCATACGCCCCCAAAACCCTAAGTTATTTTCTGTCTGTAAATTATACGTCACCCAGAACCCTATATTAAAAACAAGCATACGGCACAGGTGGCCTTCTTGACTAAACCATGATATTTTGGAGGAACAATTTAATTTTTTATAGCATTTCCTTTTTATAAAAAAATCATATTTTTATCTGAAAATTTATAAAAATTTGGAAAAAAATTAGAAATTTTAATTGTTTGATAAAAAAAATAAAAATTTATTTTAAAATTTTCTCAGAACATAGGTTTGAATTTTTAAATTTTTCTAAGGAGAAAAATGTTAAATAAATTATTTACAGAATGCGTATACGTCTTGACGTACTTCATACGCACCCAAAACCCTATGTTATTTTCTGTCTGTAATGTATACGTCACCCTGTATCCTCAATTAAAAATATTCATACGTCACATGGGGTCTCCTTAACCTAAACCATGATATTTTGGGATGATAAATTACAATTTTTATAAGATTATTTTTTGAAAAAAGTCTTATTTTTATTAAATAATTTTGAAGATTTTTTTTTTAAATATTTTTTCCAACTATTTCAGAAATTATGAAATTTCCAATATTTTTCTTCTCTTTCTCTCTCTTTCCAGACATTTGTAGTGATAAGCAAAGGAAAGGATATTTTTCGTTTTTCTGCCTCAAAAGCAATGTGGCTGCTCGATCCATTCAATCCGATCCGACGTGTAGCCATTTATATTTTAGTACATCCCTTGTTTTCGTTATTCATTATCACCACTATTCTAACTAATTGTATTTTAATGATAATGCCGACAACGCCCACGGTCGAATCCACAGAGTAAGTACTGAAAACCAAAATTAAAAAAAAAAAAAACTAAAACAATATGCGAATACACATAATTTTTATATAACCAAAAATTAAAAAAAAATACAAAAAAACAACAATTTCTTATAATTAAAAATATAGTTACCCCGTTTATTCCAAGTTCTCATAACTAATAATTGTTAGTTATATTGGTAGTTAAATGAAATTAAAAAAAAATTGAATTTTTAATTTTTATAAATTTTTAAAATATTTTTTTTTGGAAATTTTTAATTTAAAAAAATATATAAAAACTCTATATATTTTTTCGGTTGGTATTTAGGTAATATTTTTTTATTTATTTAATTTTTTATATTTGAAAAAATATATATTTAATTAAATTTTCTTTACTATTGTATTTCTTGGTGTAATTTTTTAATATATGAAAAAAATGTTTAAAAAAAATATTTATGCTATTTCTTTATATCTAAAAAAAAACAATGTAAAACCTTCCTCCAAGAAAATAACAAACCAGAGTAATTTTTTTTAAAAGCCAAAAAAATTCATACAAAAGGTAATACTCTTAGGTCTCTCTGTGAATAAGAGAGTCAAACAAATTTCAAGGTAATTTCTTTTTCCAAAAAAAAATTAAAAAAAAAAAATAAAATAATTATTAATTGTAAATCTGAACAGCTTATTTAGTTGTCATAAAAAATCAACTAGTTTCACATTTTCAAAAAAAAAAAAAAAAAAAACAAATCCAATTCATTTGTAATTTTTGTCAAAAATCATTTTAAGTCACTCTCTCTCCTTCGAGAGAGAGGAAAAATCATTTTTAGATATTTTTTTTTATTATAAATAAAAAATTTTAAATATAAAAAATCATTGCATTACCATCATTGGCATTAATTTCGTCATTCATAATAAAAATTCTTGTAAAAAATAATTCTCATGTAAATGCAATGTATAATAAAAAATTCAGTAAGAGAGTATTAATAAAAAACTGAATAAAAAAATGAGAGAGAAACAAAAATAAACGAGATACTAATTTACAATGGTTTGTTCTTCTTAGATGATATTTTCTCTAGAGTAATATCAATATTTATATAGAAATTTGTGAAAAAATACTGTAATAAAAAATAGTTAAAAAAATATATACCAAAACAAGTAGAATTGATGGGGAAAGAGATTTGAGAAAAAATCGGAAAAAAACTCAAAGAAAAAACATATAAAATTTTAAATAATACAAAATTCAAATTAATAAAAATATCCCGAAAGAGATATACAAAAAAACATTTACACTTTCTTTCGTTTAAATCGTTCGTTCTAAAAAGGGATACAAGTCAAAATATTATTTTATATTTCAAAATTATAGAAATACAAAATTAATTTCAAATTTGATTTTCCTTCAGAAATTCAATGAGAAAATATGTTGGGAGCCTTGGGGCGTATGATTATTATTAATTATCCGGACTAGGTGCCGTATAATTAAAAAAAAAATATTTTTTTTTATAAAAAAATATTTTTTTAATAATATCCCACAATATTTTTACTTAAAAATATTTTTTTATTATTAATAAAAACAATATATTTTATTATTAATAAATATATTTTTATTGTTAAAAAAAAAATTTTTTATTATTAATAAAACATATTTGTATTATTAATAAAAAAATATTTTTTTTAATAAAAACAAATTTTTTTATTAAAAAAAAAAATAATTTTATAATTTTTATATTTAAAAATTTTTTTATATTATAAAAAAATATTTTTTTTTTAAAAAAAAATATTTTTTATTAATATTTTTTTATTAAAAAAAATATTTGTTATTAATATTTGTTTATTAATAATAAAAAAATATTTTTTTATATAAAAAAATATTTTTTTATATAAAAAAATATTTTTTTTTTTTTTTGTTTTTATTAAAAAAATATTTTTTTATTATTAATAAAAAAAATATTTTTTTTTAAAAAAAATATATAAAAAAAAATATTTTTTATAATAAAAAAATATTTTTTTATTTTTTTTATTATTATTTTTTTAATAAAAAAAATATTTTTTTAATAAAAAATATTTTTTTATTAAAATATTTTTTTTATTAAAAAAATAATAATAAAAAAAATAAAAAAATATATTTTATTATTATTTTTAAAAAAAAATATTTTTTTTAATAAAAAAATATTTTTTTATTAAAATATTTTTTTTTATTAAAAAAATAATAATAAAAAAAATAAAAAAATATTTTTTTTATTAAAAAAATGTATTTTTTTATTATTAAAAAATATTCTTTTATTATTAAAAAAATATATATATATATATATATTTTAAATTTCTTCAGGAGCGTATACTTATTAGCATAAACCATACGCCCCCCAAGCAACCATAATATTCTTTTATTTGTAAATTATACGCCAAACAATATTGACATTTAAAAATAATCATACGCCAGAAGGTTACCCATTTAACTTCTTATTGGATTATTAAGGGAAATATTTTTTAAGGGGTCAAAAATTGTTTTTGATTTAATTCGAATCTACTCTAATTCTAGAATGTCCCTACAAAAGTGAAAATCTCAAGAACTCTTGAAGATATAGCCGATTTATTGTGTCAGCATCAAGGGACGACAAGAGTGATTCTGAAACTTTAAACGCATTGTTCTCGAAGCGAATGGCGGGCACGATAACTCAAAAACTAATAATCCAATCGGTCTCAAATTTTGACACGTTTATCTGGGAGTGTATAGCTCTCGTATGAACTAGGATAAAGCCAATCGGTGAAAATCTTCCTTACTTTTTAATCTAGTTTGTGGTCAAAAATAGGCGAAAATTTTTTTTCCAAATTTTTTTTTTTCAAAAATCCGCCATTTTGTTAATTTTTTTGTGAGGTCAATCGTAGCTCATACGAGAACCAGGCAAGTACTCTATCTAACACCGTTTGAATTTTCGGATTCAGATGTGAGGAGTTATCATGGCCGCCATCAAAGTTACAAACATTAACAAGCATTGGGATTCAGTTACCAGCCCATTTAAAATCTTAAAAATAAAAAATGGTTCCCTTAAACGAAAATCAAATTTTATTTTTATATATTTCTTTTTTAAGAAACAATAATACTTACTATTTAGAAAAACATTTAGTAAACAATTTTTTTTTCTCGCCAACTCAAATCTCTTTCCCTACTTCCTCATTAATTATATTCATTAATTTTTAGTAACCTATTTTTAATTTAATTATAGTATCTAAGAAAAAAATAAATAATTATTGTAACAGTAGTTTCCAGAAAAAAGCTATGTATCTGTAATAATTCATTCAATATCATTATGTAGCAAAAAAAAACAAAAAAAATTTGAATAGTAATAAAATATATAATCTTGTACACACATATACAAATGAACAAAAAAACATATATATTAAATTAAACATTATTTCGAAATATAATAATGACAGTTTATAATTTAAAAGAAATTATTTATATTAATTTTTGTTGTATATAAAATGCTGTAGTGTCGGTGTATTTAAATTACAATAAGAAGAAACGCTAATTCAAATTGTAGTTTGATTAAAAAAATATATTTTATAAAAAATATATATTTATATATAGATGAATATGTAAAATGTAATAGTGTAGAAAAATATTATAATACCCTGCTATTTATATACAATTAAAAAAATAGAAAACTAAACATAGATATTTTGATACGCCAAGATATTGGTCAAAAGTTTCCCAAAGCCTAATATAAACAATTCTATATTTTCCCTAAAATGAATTAAATCGATTTCCTGGGGTATACTGAAGAAGGTTAGATTCCAGAAGGTAAAAGAAAAAAAAATATTCTATTACGTTTCTCACCACTCTAAATGCTAACAATTGAAAATGCCTAATAGAGCGTATACTTCATAACATCCATTATACGCCCCCCGAGTACTTCAATATGTTCCTATTTGATAAAGTATACGCCAACCGGGTTAGCGTATTAAAAATAAATTATACGCTACAGGTTTACATTAACTTCGAAATTTCAAATAAAAAATGGCTTCTTTAAAAAATTTGCAGGAAACCTCTTTTCAAAGAGGTTCTCAATATTTTTAAAGAAGTGAAGTAAAATACGTATCTTTGAAATTTAAAAACAGTGCGTATAATTAACATCATCCATTATACGCCCCCTGAATACCTCAATATTTGATCAATTATACGCCACCCTCTTTGGGAATTAAAATAAATTATACGCTAGAGATGTACATTAACTTCGAAATTTCAAATATAACTCGATTTTTAAATGAATTCTTGACAAAAATTTCAGGCTCTAGTTTCTTCTTAGAATATTTGAGAAAGAAGTGTTTTTTTTTAAGATTTACCAGAAATCTTTTTTCAAAGAGGTCCCCAAAAATTTTTAAGAAGTAACATTTTTTATATTTTCAAAAGCAGTCTGAACTTATTTTTGATACTTCTCCGTTTCAATTTTTTTTCCAAACCTATAAAAGCAAATCTTTACATTTTAAAATAGTGCGTATAATTAATATCATCCATTATACGCCCCCTGAGCACCTCAATATTTGTCTATTTGATAAAGTATCCGCCACCCTGTTTAAAAATTTAAATAAATTATTAGCCACAGGTTTACGAAATTTTAACGTTATTTGAAATTTCAAAAATAGTACTAGAATATTTATTAATAATTTTTGAAAAGAAATAAATTCTTAATTTTTAAAAAGGGCTTCTTGGAATATTCGAAAAAGGCTTCTTGGAAATTCTTTTTAAAGGAAAAAATTTTGATCTAAATTTTTTCAATGAATTTTTGATGAAGTGGCATTATTTATATTAAAAGAGTCTAAAGTGAGCTCTAATTATTTTTAATACGCTCTATCTCCATTTATTATTTTTCTCTCACAAAAGTATAAAAACAATTATTGAAAATTTCTAACAGTGCGTATACTTAATAACATCCATTATACGCCCCTGAGCTCCACATTATTTTTCTATTTGAACAATCATACGCCACCCAGTGTTGGAAATTAAAATCCATTATACGCCACATATT